TGTTGGCGTTGTTCTGGAGCAAAGCCTCCGCAAGACCAATGTTGTCGTATTTGACGGCCAAGTGCAACAGATTGCTGTTCTGAAAGTTGATGTTGTATTTCCAGATGCTGGGCTGCAGTTTAAAATTAAAGTCTTTGCACGATTTTGCGAGGACAAATAATGTAATACCGTCCAAATACGACACAATCCACAGCAAAAGCTCGTTGGGCAGGTCTCTGATGTTTGGCTGTAATGTATTAGCTCATCGATCAACTCCGTAAGAACGAATTGAACAGACCATGACGGGACAGCGGATTGAGCTAACGAAATGTAGATGGGGGTGAGGTGAGAGTTGTGAAGGTAGGATATGGGAGGCCTTTACATACTCACCTCAGCCAAATTCCGTGGTCAGCTAGGAGTGTAGTCTGTCACTCCGTTGAGAGGTGCGTAGCAATCACAAAGGGTTAACAACAATGCTCAGGCGGAGTTGGAGAATCTCTGGAGTCTAGCTCCTGGGAACGCCAAAACTGTTCCTGGTAGTGTGTCGATGGCCTGGGAAACCGAATCTATCTCTACGTACCCGCATCTTGCCCCTAGCGCCATAAGAACAAATAACAACCTATCACGCACTTCGAAATTCATAGGCAACCCAGAATCTAACGCAGCATTTGTCGACTTCGCTGCCAACCGCAGTAGCCAATCTGTTCGCCAATGTATGGTCCCCGCGATGGATAGTCAAACGTGCAGCTGATTGCAGCAGTGGTCTGGAATGATATCCCTTCTTGCAGGCCACTGATTGGCCGTATAGTGGCGCATACTGCGTGCGAATGCATTCTCCAACGTACCGACTGTTTCAAGGAAGTGTCCCATGCCAGCCACGCAGCCATGTAGGTAAGGAGCCCACGCGATGGCATATAAAGCTGGCGAGGGAACGCTGCGGTGATTGCCAACACCACCACAATCCGAAGCATTTTCTGCCTTTGACGACCACCTCAATAACTACCATGCTCCCTTGGAATCCGTTTCTTGTTTGTGAGATAGAGGCCAGCCCCAATGGCGGTCCTGGCTCCTGTTGCGGGATGACGAAAAAAGGCGAGCCATGCAAGAACTCGATCAAAGTTGAAGACACCAAGGTCGGCCATCAAAAGTTGACCACTCTCGCCAGAGAGCCGTTTGACTTGTTATCGTTGCAGTCGAAGCTCTGTGACGTCGCCAGAGACTTCCTCTGCGCGAGATGGCACCGGCAACGGCAGGCCGACCAAGTTGGCCAGCAGTGGTATGAAGCCGCCGTCCGCAACCAGGCGCGAGTACCATATGGCTCCAGAATGGCTTCTCCGTCAGTCATTGTACATCGGGGCCAGCGTCAGACATCGTCAGCCTCCAGGCGACGCCCTGCATCAGACAACACCCGGTCATCACCACCACCGGTGCCCCTGTCAACCAACCCCGAGCCAGTGCAGCCATTCAATCCATTTGTGACTTCTGCAACGCTGCGGACGAACAATGTTCCATGGCGCGTTTCGCCGACCCGACCAGCCATCCTCTCATTGGCAACTAATATCCGGGCTGGTTTCCAAGAATTGACGCTCCAGAGTCTCACCTCGAGTGAAGAGGTCGACAGCGTCCACGTCGACAGCATCTACTGTGTGTTCTGCCAGACCGAGGATGAAGACCATGCGGACGAGAGCGTGATCTTGCACTGCGGTCAGTGCACATCGCTCTGTCATCTGTCATGCGCCGAAGAATGGTTGGAAAAGCGAGATACAGGGTTTGGCACGTCATGTTGTGTGTGGTAAGTGTGGATGACCTTATTTCTGAGACGACCAAGATACTGATGACCGCAGCCGAAACGAAGGAGCCCTAGATGCCATCATTCGCCCCTTACGAATCCCCTCGTCGGATGCCGAGACATATTCCGTCCACACGGCAAGCGATCCATCTCCCACTGGTTGGGCCCGTCGCTCAGCCAGACTAGCAGGAACTCATCTACCGCGACAACCTTCCACCGCTGCACCGCTTCGCCGATCGGCACGACTCAATTCCACTCAGCGTAGGTGATCACAGGTTACAGCCGAGTTTGACGGAAAATGCGAAAAGCGAGTGAATCACACGCGACTACACGTGACCAGACACTCGGCATCGTGATCAGCAACAGAGGTTACAGCCGTTATAGCCGTGATATAGAATTTTGAAGCAAATTAGCAAGAAATGAAATACGGATGGTTAAACTCCGAAGTACAACGCGACCGTTTCATCTCGTAAGTGCTGGACACCAATACACCATAGCCAGTAGCTATTGATTGCTTCGCTGATTCCGAAAATGTCTGAGCTCGAAACTGTAGTGGTAGATAAAAGTTCTGTTTTCATGATACCTAACGGCGGTGACCAAAAAAACAGAGAAGGATTCGTCTCAGTGGAGTCGTGTCGCGTGAAGGCGGGGATTGTTGGCAGAAAAGCCACAGGCAAGAGACTGACAAACTCTCGTGCTTGTTAACTTACTCTGGGAACCAATATGTTGGCCCTGGGAACCTCAAAAGCATTTCTAGGGGCTGTTTATCCCCTAGGAAATACTCTTGAGATCCTGGGGCTATTTCTATTTCTAGGAAAATGAGATCTAGCCCTGGGATCTTCACTTTACGTTCCTGACTGAATACGACACTGGCTCTGGGAATACATTGTCCAGATCTGGGAGCTGTGGAGCCCCTGGGAGCTTACTTTGGGGTCCTAGAGTCACTGTCTTGCCTTCCGAGATCGCCGAAAGCCCTCACAAAAAAGCTTTACCGGAACTGCGCACAATTCTGCGTCATTCGATCACTCTCAGGAGCAGCAATTACGCCCCCAGGAACGAAGAAATCGTCAACAGGCGGTTTTGATTCCTGAGGTGACGATACTAGACCCCAGAAGCTACGTCGGGTTTCCTAGTGGCTACGTGGCTCCTAGAAGCTGCTTCTTTGCTCCCAGAAACCTGTCAACGGCCCCCGGGAGCAAAAAGACTCCCAGGGCCAAAGCAGGTGTCCCTACTACTGATAGAGCCGTCAATAGGAATGCAGGTGTCGTGGTAGTGATGGTGGATAGTCTTACAAGCTAAGTACGATTTGCTGGTGCTATGGTATTTCCAGAGTCATCGATTTGAAGTTTTACAACACCAGTTTTGATGGCCTTTAACATAGAGCATCTGAGATCATTGGTCGACGGCCTCGCAAAACGCGTCCGATTCTTGGGAGTGAAACAGCTCCTGGAATCACCCTGAACTCCCAGGTCTGGTCGCTGCACGCACCACACTAGTGCACTTCGTGGAAGAACATTTGACCTGGATGTGACATCGTGGGTGAAGAAATACCTAAATACTTGCTCCCGTCCTACTCCATATCTTCTCCGTGATATCCTCCCATATATTCTCCCACAAAGTAGCCCCTTATCGCTTAACCCAAAATTCAAGTGCTTATGATCTCTTCCGACAATGCCGATCCATTTCACTTTAGAGAACCGTTATCTCCAAGAGGGGGGTCAATCATGGTAACATTTATCTATGTACCGAACCAAGACCAGTCATTCACCCCTAAGACAAAGATGTCTAGACATGATTTAGGACATAGCATCTCGGAATACCCAAATTGTTGGAGTCGCGGAACGCCTTCGTAACCTACTTCTAAACCTAGAAGATCTTAACGCTAAGCAATGGCGCTCTCTCCATAGTGGTGTTATACCAAATATCTTTTCACTCTTATATTGCTGTATCATGGCTATGAGCTCGAGCCTACTCCGCTAGCAATCTCGTCGCTATGGGATGGTCTTGTCGCCAGCAGTTTGGCTATTCAATGTGTGCATGGTGCAGCTTTGATGTATGCCTTGATGTCTCCATATTTTGCTTTCATAATTCTAACCAGACGCTTTCCAGAAATCAGAACGACAAGAGATCGGTATCTTCGCAGCAGCAGAGAGTCACGGACGCCATCGAAGAAGTGGGGAACAAAGGGGTCGAAAATGCGAACAGAATGAGCCCAGCTATATATCATTCTCAGGCGATTTTTAACTTGTTGAAGTCGTGAACGAGGTGGTGCGACGGCATTTGGCGACATGCATGTGAGCTTCGGCGGATGAAACCGTGGTATTCAAGCCGCTGAGTATCGTGGAAGCATGCACTTGACTTTTCCCCTCTAGAAGACCCGGGAGATTTGAGGAAACTCTGCGTTTTGTGCATGTTTGTATCTGGATGCTGCTATGGATATCAATCTGCTGTTTATACGGACAGATAGAATTGCGCATAAAGCAAGGAAAGGTTCACTTTCTCCTAAGTTCTGGCCTTGGAGGCTACGGAGGATTTCGAAAACAGTTTACCCCCAGACACTCACGTTTTCTTTCCTAGAGACCCACAAGGACAGTCTAGTCCCCCGCAGCCAATAATACGGTGTTACGCCTCAAGGAAGGTACCTCAGCTAGCCAAAGTTAGATTAGCGCATTCTGAGTGGGGCGCTGGGAAAGAAAGCGTGTGTGTCTGGCGGGTAAACTGTTTTCGAAATCCGCTGTATATAAAAATGAATTCAGACCGAAGAAGCTCTGGAAAGAATAGGGTTTCGCCTGATTCTGGGGGCAATACTGTAATGGTACGGCGTCTATCTGGGCACCAATTAGAGGGCGAACGGCGAACCACCGAGATTAAAACAATCCATTCTGGCTCGGTGGCCATTATCTCTTTTATCAATCTTGACAGCAACTGTTACGGCCCCAAATTCTAATGAAGGGTACAATTCTGGCAAATGCTAAACTTGGATCCACAGAATATTCACCTAGACTTAGTATCTAAAACAAAGTTCCTTAGACTCCCAGGAGCTTCAAAATATTCGATACTGACTAAGCGGTCAGAGCGACCAAACAATGTATCGGGGCGCAGTAGCACCGAGAGGCAGGAGGGGCTTAAGCACTTTGCTGAGCAAGGCGCAATATTCGCATCCTGCTATTTAAACCCCACGACCACCCCCAGAGTGACTCGATCCATCTCACCCCATTTTTCTAAAACCAAAATGCCTACGAACATCCGTGCTCGTTCGCGCCAAACTTTCGCCCGTGTACACTCCACCCACTTTCCGCAACCGCCTCAGAGGGACACCAAGAAAATCGCAGATTCAATTGCTTACTCAACAGTTGACGTCCATGAAATCAACACCATACCTCCACTACTTGCTCTGCCTTCTGAACTGCTTTTGAAAATTCTCGGCAATTTACAAGACCTCCAAGACCTTTTCTCGACAATACTTGCCTGCCGCCGGATTTTCGATATTTTCCAAGAAGCACAAAGACTACTAATCGAGTCAACTTTCGCCAAATATATTCGTCTGAAGACCGATCGAGGGATCTACCAAGTGCTAATCCAGCTCGGTCGGATTATTCGACGAGATATCGTTCACAGAGACGTTGTGCGACACGTCTTTGAAACCGGATGGGAAGTTTTCAGACAAAGACATCAAGAGGAGCTACTTATTCCATTCGGGAGGGCCATAGCATGGTCCTATGTCCTGAATAACCGCCAAGCTGATGCAGTTTGTCTTTTGCAACTGATACAGAAGGGGGAGCCACCCTTTGGATGGTCGGAAAAATTCGCACAGCCGCCTATTCAACCAATCAGAGAGCTCTTGGGCCAGCTAGTCTCCGAGGAGAACGGTGTTGATAGAAAGTACATCAGCTCTGACTTGGACCACCCGCTGGTTGAGATTAAGAGAAAGTCCAATTCAAGTGCGTCATGTCTCAATCATATCGAGCAGAGCGCTCTTTTGAAGGATGGGATCTTGTTCAGGGAAAACTCAATTGTGATGAGAAAGAGCACACCATATCCGCCGAGGGTCTCTTCCAAGCATATGTTTCATTACAATTTGTTTCGTCACGGATCAATCTCCAATGAGACCATGAACAGGGACGTCATGAAAGCTCTAGCTCATCAGCCAACAGATTCATATGCGGGGGGCGGACAGCACAGGTCTTTACGCAACCTATGAATGGCGGGTAAGTAGCTGGCAAAGCCTCCGTCACGTAGGCTGCAATCTATGATTACGAGCTGCTGGTAAAGTCTGTGTAGTGCTATTAAAAGCGTCCAGAATGCCGTTTCTCAGAGGCATAGCTGGATATCTCGTTTCTCAGTAATTGGAACAGATACACCATATGTTATCAACTAACATGTTACAGTAACTACATTGCATTACTGAAGCCACCTATTATAAAATTCCTTGACGTTTGGGGTAGATGTCTCATAAGCCTAATAGATAAATGCGTTACAATGCTCTCATTTCAGTGGTAAAACTGAATTCGAACAATACTGTACCAAAAGTAGGGACGGTGATGATGAAAGGTGTAAGAAGGGCAAAGGACTTTCCCGGAGGGGTGATACAGGATGGATGGATGGATGGATGATTTCATTTACCCCGACCTCTCGCAAAGTTGAAACCCTGGATTAAGGTACAAGTGTGATAATTGATCTATATTGAGAGATCCAGCTATTTGTAGTTGCAGCAGCTCATCTTCCTGCTGCCTAGCGGAGTGTCTGCCTAACAGGCAGCCACTCCTATAGATCTATATACATAACGTGACCTGGGATCCAACTCTCCCCCTGTGCTGAGGATCCGAAAGGGTCGAGGCACCTCAAGGATCCCAGAATATGCTCTGGCATTTTCTGATGTTTCTTTGGACGAAATCGCAGACTCAACACCTCCCCCTGAATGGAGATTCAGACGTTCTACAAGGTCTTCGTGTGTAGACCTCGGTAAAGCTTTGGTGAAAACATCTGCCAAGTTGTCCTTTGTATTGACGCGCTGGGTATCAATAAGACCTTCCTCCACCTTTTCCCGAATGAAGTTATGCTTGACGTCAATGTGTTTGGCCCTGCTGTGGAACTCTGGATTCCTGGTGAGCTTCAAGTCTGCGTTATTGTCGATATAAAGGGGAACTTTGTCAATGTGTACTCCGGGGATGCGGAGGTCATTGATAAAGTTGCGGATCCACATAGCTTCCTTCGCAGCCTCGGCGCATGCAATATACTCCGCGTCCATGGTTGATGTAGCCACTGTTTTTTGTCTCTGGTATGACCACGATATGGGCCCTCCAGCAAGCGTGAACACCCATCCAGTTGTCGACTTGCGCGAGCCCTCACATCCGGCAAAGTCGCTGTCGACGAAACCCCTCAGCTGAAGACCGTGTTTATCTGAATAGACAATTCCCTTCCTAGCATCGCTCTTCAGATACGCAAAAATGCGATCCACGGCATCCATGTGAGCCCGGTTTGGGTTGGATGCGTGTTGGTGGCTCGGGTTCCATGTGGATACGGATATCCTTGATCCGATTGTCGCGTTGGTACCGCGATTGAGGCAACATATTGACATCTACAGTGCTCCCAGGAGCCGTTGCTGATAAGGCTAACGCGCGAAAAGATGGTTTAATATAATCTCAAGTTCGACATGACCGCTTCAACCCACAATATTCCAAAGGTCATGATTGTCCTTAGGGTGGATTCTCTCAGGCCATTCTACAAGCTACTCTCAGTACAATACACTTACTAGAGGAGCCAAGCAATTAGAAGTTGTCACTGGTATTAAACAGGCCCATTACCCCAGACATAGAAGGTCAAAACGGACATACATGGCAAGCTGGTCTCATCCTTCTATATCCCTTTTCTTGAGGAGTCCATCGGTTAACCTGTTTCATGGAGGCAATGAATCGGGTGAAAACTTTCGTCAAGTCGTCGGCCGACTCATCCATGGAAATCGCGGCAACGCAAGCCAGATTTAGCAACCGTCTGTTGACTGGTCCCTGCCTGACTCTGTAGCTACCTCTGTTGCTACCTCTGCTACTAGCTCAAGAGACTACATCGCCGGAAAGCATCATGAAGGCTGAAACTCAAGACCCATCCCCACAGAAACGGAAAAAGAGAACAGCTGAATCCTCAACTCTTCCGCGAAAACTGGGGACTCAAAAGATGCATCGAAAGAGGTTTCCAAGAGCTGCAGAAACCAGTACGAAGATGAGAAATGATACGATTCAATATCTACAAGCGGTATCGGATCACATCTCATCTTCCGGCACAATTTCCTCCAGCGAGACGGCCACGATGCACCTTGCCACCCAACTGCTACAGAGCAGATACGAAGATGTTATCGAAGGGGAACAGCTTGAAAAGTTTATCCACTATGAGACTAACTTTCATCCTTTTTCAACGAAAGACTGGACACGGCTTTCACAAATCTGCAACGTCATCTCAAAGTTTAATGAGTTTACCTTATTCGTCTCTGAGAAAAGGCCACAGATCAGTCTTGCAGTACCAGTATACTACGAGCTCCACGATTTACTACACGATGTGGCTGAGCGGAAGGAAGATTTTGCAAATGTTGATGAGGATATTGCAAGTCAGAAGTGCCCTTATTGCGCAAGGTTGGTCCAAGAAGACTGCCCGACAGCAAGCTAGGGAGCGAAATGCCGATCTGCGATAAATTTATTTGCATAATTCGTCGGACTTCCACTCTTACCACCTGGTTTACGTTGACGAATCTGGCTGTAATAAAAGAGTTGGGTTTAGACGGACAGGCTGATCACTACGTGGCACAGCCCCCATGCAAATATTGCAGTTCCACCATGACCAAAGATATCAGATATTACCAGCGTATGCGCAAGATGGCGTTATCCTCTCGCATATGTTCTGCGGTTCAACCGATACCTCCATGTTCGAGGATTTCATCGCACAACTCCTTCAGCACTGCGGAAGAGGCCCTGAACCTCGATCCGTGCTTGTTATAGACAACGCATCTTTCCATCGCTCTCAGCAGGTTGAACAGTAGTGTGAGAATGCAGGCGTGAAGCTGGTCTTTTTGCCGCTCTACTCGCCCGACCTCAACACCATCGAAGAATCCTTTGCGGAGCTAAAAGGCTTCATCAAACGTAGCTGGGGTCTCTACGAAGAAAATCCCGACCAGGGGTTTGATGTGTTTCTCGAGTGGGGCGTCAATACTGTGAGCACAAAAGTGGAGAGCGCGAAAGGCCATCTTCGACACGCAGGGTAGAAAATTGTAGAGTTTTAAATTCATTTAGAGCAGTCTCGGATTAAAACAAATACCAGCAGTACAGTAGCAGTTGCCGAAGCCTCGTCGTGAGGAAGTAAGCGTAGAAGGTAAGGCATGTCAGATCAATATTATCGCAGCATGACACAATGACACGCGCAACCTCTATAGCTGGATAAGCTCTGCGCTCAGCAGCATTCTTGTACCTTGGCAGTGCACACAGGACGAGTACTGCTGATAGAGCTAGGTCATTCAATAAGAATTTCCTACTAAGTCAAGGTGGCTGGAATCTGATGATCTTCATATTACTGATACTTTCGGTGCTCTTCCACTGCTCCACACATTTTTGATCAAAAGGTCCTAGCTGCAGAAGTCATCATGCACAATGACAAGGAGACGATCGAATGCGCATATGTGCTACATTCAAAACCACGCGTACCTGGCTTACTTTTCAGTCCGATTATTGCTAAATACCTGATGGTTCCACGAAAGATTGGGGCGAGAGGAAGGAAAAGCCATAATATGTAGGGGAATAGCAGACGATGGGCATAGGACTGATCGTGGGAGGGCCGCCTGTCTCCAGATACGTACGCTTTCGTTTAATGCCTGAAGGCGGCATAGACGAGGATGCAGTATCAAAGCAAGTATTAATCACGACGTCTTGCTTGGGACACTGTGCTGGACTGTCCACGATAGCATACGCATCCGGAGATAGGGCTAAGGTATTGCTTCCTTGAATAGGCCACATGGGAATGTACGTGCTTTCAGGTTCCGGCTCTTCAATCACTAAGGAGCTTCTTCTGTTCGCTTGGTCTCGACTAGTCGCAACTTCGAAGTCTGGAAAATTCGTTGGCGAGATGCAAACCCTTGGCTCTCCTTCTGCACCTGATTAGCAAAGTCTTATAGGTGGTCGAAACAACCTACCATTTCTCGCTGCGAGAAAGTTCTCTTCCATTTCCCTGACATAATATAACTCGTCGAGAAGATGTACTCGTCCAGTCGGGAATATCTGTCGCCGTACAGGTTGCTCTGCAGCTTTGAGTTTCTGCGCTGTGACTCCGTGACTGGTGTACAATTCACAAAGGATGTGGACGAGAAGCCTGATACGCTCTGTTTAAGAAGTCAGTTAAGTAAGACCACAGAAGGAGACTCATTGCTCTACCAGCTTTGGGGAGATGGTCGGGCTCTCGGTGGCGCACTCCAGACGGCCACCATGGCGGCTTGGTCTCATCGGGAGTCAACTCGTGGGTTTTGCCTGCCACGGTCTTCCGTCCATTGTAGGGATAGAAGACCTGCTTCCGTGGCTCGACAAGTTTCACGTAGGCTTTTGCAATGAGTCGGCAATTCGTTTGTTGTAAATTCTCGAAGACCTTCGTGTAGTAACAGCGAAGAAAGTGTGTGTCACTAAGCGAGATAATGGTTTGCAAGCTTAGGCTGAGCTCGTTTTCCGCCGGACGCCTACGTTGTTGTAAGCTCCTCCTTGTCCTTGACGGCCCAGAAAATAGCTGTGCTGGCCATGATGCGGGTTGGCGCGAAGACCTTAAGGCCATAGGAAACCTTACGCTCTCCTCAGCCTCATGACAGCCTAGGCCGTGAGTGATCTGGTTAATGTGCGATGAAAGACATCGCTGGTCCGTAGGCGACCCTCGAGATGTCTTTTTTGTGCCAAAGGCTGCTCCACTGCCAGGACTTAGCCACATACCGGACGGATCCTAACTCCATGGGCATTCAACTTACATGGTACGTATGATGGGCAGTGGCCACCTCCAGTTGATTCTGCCACCGCTTTCAAAAACTCAAACGTCACTTTTGGAGAAAGGATACTCTTGTAATGGTCGGAAATAGAATGGGACCACTCATGACGAACTGTACCCTCTTGGTCAATGTAGATGAGGGCATAATGTGAATGAGCCCTCTGGTCTTGCCAGACTGGTCTTTGCATATTTACTAGCAGTCTTCAGGTATCAGGTCTGTCATCGGCGGTGCGGAAGACGATAATAGAGAATCCTATCGCGCGAACAATTGTTGGCTATGGCCCACCAAACGTCACTTCTCCAAGCTCTGATGATGGGCCAATGTCGCCTGACTGTAATTGGAATGAAGGAGAAGAAAGACTCGATATCAGTGACTGTGGTTGGCATAAGAGCACTCAGAAGCTCTCAAGCGAGTTGATTGTGCACAAGACTGCTTCACTGGCTAATTTCCACCGGGTGAAGTCTCCTGGGGTGCGAACGCTTATGGTTGATATAGTAGCCCAAACTTGCTGCTGAATTAAACTCTGGTTCTAGCACACCACCTAACTTGGGTCTTGGCAAGGCAAACAAGATCGCCCTGCCACATGCCGCATTTGAATCTCCTGTTATCGTCGGCTGAGGCTGGGGACGTCAATAACGGCAAAATTGTTATGGAATCTACGTTGGACCCAACCAATCAGCGTATCTCCACAAAGGCCCCAGCGCTTTCTAGACAGTAGTTCGTGCCACCTCGAGCTAGCGTACTGTGGGCTAAAGCAAGGCCCAGTCTGAGCACATCTAGAGCTGTTTGTGTCTGCACCAGGCCTATTGCGGAACACCACTGTCTCATTGTCGTGTTGACCCCCTGGCGATCTTGTTTCGTTCATTTTGAGAGCATTATAGGTGACTTTCAACGAAAGCAAACTACTTGAGCCAAGTTCTCTCTAATAAGCCTTTGCTCTCAGGACAAGGACCCCTTAAATTGATTGTGGAGTCGCCAAGCGTTAAGGCCAGTCTAGCATACTCTCTAGGGCGGTCTGCACGACCCCTGGTTAGACCGTTACGGGAGCGCACTACTGACATTTGCTGTCTTCTGAGTGGTGTGTAAGCCTTCGTCGTATCCATGGGATTATCCTCCAATGGCCCACCCACCTTCGCTCTTGGCCACCTGGCTTAAGCCAAATCAATCGTTTGAAAGGATCCGACCCATTTGAGAGGTCCGTGACATCGGCTTCCGGCCGTCATATTGCTCTGACACCTATGGTTTTATTTTACTCACTTGCACTACAATCTTCCCGCTTGCCCCATAACTGCCAAGGTAAATCCCCAAGCTTGGGCCCCCACAGAAGGTCTACCCCTGGCACGTTAACCCAACCTTCGGCGAAACCCAAGGCCACTCACCCATGCCCAAATAATAAGTCACCAACAACGTAGCCCTCGTTGTGCCAACGAAAAGCAGGATCGATAGTGAGCTGCATTATAAGCGATTCTGTATGCAAGCCTATCATTGGGAGGCGATCCCGACTCGGGTTTTCAAGACAGTGTAGCTCAACAGGAAGGTGCCAGTCTACCTGGAAGGTCCGACGAGAATTAATACGGAATCTCTCCTAGTAACATACACTAACCCACCGTAATGGAATGCATCTATCATACAGTATTTTCACCGCGGCGCGAGTCATGCAGGGTGCCACCCGTTCGGTCACATAAAATGGTTGTCATGATGATGATGATGATGATGATGATGATGTATTCATTTGCCCGATGTAGCTCGCTCTATATATATGCTGCTATGCGGGGGTGCTGTCAGGCCTGCCGACAGCTGGAAAAAGTGGTCGCCAGCCCACTGGGCGACCGTTGGAAACTCGTACGAATTTCTGGTCAATCGCCCTCGAATGGAAAGATGTAAATTGAACAAAAGAAATGCACGGATGCAAACATGATAAACAAAAAACCAAAATGAACGTCATTTACCCCTGATCGCGGGTGGGAGGCCCTGCCCACTTCACCACACCATTCCGATGTCCACTTCTCCCCAACCGTCCAGTCTTGTCGGCTGCCGCTTGCGCGCTCGCTTAGATCAAGGGAATGCAGAGGACCTGGCACTGCATTCCTCACGGGCGCCATCCTTCTTCTTCCGTCACACTGTCTAAGGGGTCATTGTCTCCGCTCCTTTGTCGTTCCCTTCCTCGCCCAGAGCCGTGGGATCGACTGTCTGAAATTGGCCTAGAATGCCGGTCTTGACCATGAATTCGGCCACAACTGTGCGGGCCTCCGGTCGTGTGAGGAGTTCGTCCCGGTGGAGAGCGACTCCCTGGTATGAGAGAGCGCTTCTCATCCAGTCTCGCTCGTCCTGGTGCAAGGGGCATTCCAGCAGGACGTGTGTCACTGTTTGGCTACCAAGATCGCAATCACACCGCGCTGTTTCGCGTCGGTTGATACGATTCAGGTAAGCCCCTAGGCCTATTCGCCCAGTTCTAAGCTGCATCAGAATCGATGTCGTCGCTTTGCGCAAGCCCGTCCAGTATTCTAGCGTCTTCTTTGTTGGTGCTTCAATCAAGCGTTTCGTCGGACGACTGGTCGTTTCCTTGGCCCACGTTCTGTCCCACTCCAGCTTCGCTTCTCTGCGAATTCGTCGTCTCGCTGCGGCTGCGAGACGTATGTCTCGGTTGAGAGGGTTATGCAGCCCGTCCGGTTCCTGCGCCGCTTCTTTTGCGTGTTGGTCCACGATCTCGTTGCCAATGACTCCTTGGTGCGCAGGAATCCATCTGAGTTCTGTCCGAATACTTCTGCCCGCAAGTTGTAGGATCAGGTTGAGGCATCCTGCTAGATAGACCTGTCCTGACGGCATCCGCGGTCGCCTCAGCGCCTTCAGCGCTGCTTGGCTATCTACAAAGATGACTACCCCGTTCTTCGCCTGCTTAGCCCATGGCTCTGTGCTTTCCAGAACCATTTCAAGTGCCATCTCAATGGCTCGAAGCTCTGCCGCATATACGGTGGACGTATTATCATCTCCCATCTGGCTATGAGCATGTTGATCCTCAAGGTCCACGACCGCTGCCGCTCCGATCCTTCCATCAATCCCGCTCCCGTCGGTGTACAGTATCAAGGGTCTTTCTCTTGGGTCTTTGGTCAGGATCTGGTTGTGGTGGTTGACCGCAACCTCTCTTTCCTCGATGATTACCTCCGGCGGCGCTTGCCATGGTGCCTGGACGAATGCCTTTCGATTCTCCCAGTTCCTCGCGAAAGTTCCCGGGAGAGTCGTGAGGCACCCGTCCGTCTTCCAGGCCTGCGCCTCCATTGGTGTCCATCCAGCCCAGTCTCTCTCGTCCGCCGGTCGGCGTCGTAACATCGTGGGCGGGATCGCAAATTCCGGTCCTGTTCGTAGTCGAAGGGCCGTTTCCTTCACCAGTCGATTCATGTGAACAGAGATAGGAGGTAGGTGAAGCTCTGCATTCAGTGCCTCTGCTGCCGTAGTTTTGAAAGCTCCACTGATGAGGCATGCTGCCTGCTTCTGGATTGCCGCGAAAGGATTACTGATTGTGCGTGCCTTGGAATTACTGATGATCATAGGCTGATACCATGCGGAAACCCCAAAGAGCATCTGCGGGATGATCACCGCCTGGTAAATCTTTCGCATTGCGTAGAACGAGGCTCCCCACGTTGAACCCGCCAAGCTTCGTAGTGCGTGGAGAGAGACGCCGGCCTTGGTCACCGCTTTCTCGCGGTGATGGTGGAATTCCAGACCCGGATCCAGCCAATAGCCTAGGTACCGCTCAGCTGTCCTCGTCGCTGTCACGGTGTGCCCTCGTAGAGACAGCGATGTGTATTGTGGGTCGACTTCCCTGGTGTTTACAAAGTGCACGAGTGCATACTTCTTCGGGTCAAAAACTGATGCATGTTTCTCGGCCCATTGGTCGGCTTTGCGGCATGCCGCTCTGAGTTTCTTGATGGTTTCGCGTTCGCTGTCTCCCTTTGTCATGAAGCAAACATCGTCGACCCACCCGTTGCTAGTCACACCGTTACCGCAGTTCTCAACGAGGTCTGCGTTGTAGATGAGATATAGAATGGGTGAGATCGGTGATCCTTGAGGGATGCCTGTAGGTGTCGGGATTCGATCAGATGTGCCCTCGGGCATGCGGATCCGTGTGCTTCGGTTGGTCAAGAAGGCCCTCACCCAGGGAACGAAGTGTCCCAGACGTCGTTTCTTGAGGTTGTGTAGTAGACGTTCATGGGAGACATTGTCGTACGCTCCGGACACGTCCAGCATCAGCAGAGATACCACCGGCTTGCCCTTTCCCCATGCAGTTTTGATTCGGTCGATGATAATGTGGATAGCATGATCGGTGGATATACCCTTTCGTCCGCCTAGATGGGTTCGTGGGAGTAAACCGTTGGTTTCTGCTGCGTAGCTGATCCGTCGCGCGACAACTGCCTCCAGAAACTTTCCGAGCGTGTTCAGCAACGCCACGGGTCTGTAGGATTTTGCGAGCTGGTAGTCACTTTTGCCTTGCTTCCGGAGCACCACCGTGATTGAGCGCTGGAAATGTGACGGGTTGTATCCCGTGTTTATGCATGCGTTGAATAACTGTACCACTGTTGCTAGAACCGCCGGTATCTCGATAAGCTTGTGCCAGAGAGAGTTTGGTATACCGTCTTCTCCGGGTGCTTTCCCTGCTTTCGCTCCTCGCACCGCCTCCTGTATCTCTTGAGCGGTGACTGCTGGAAACTCGATTTGCTGTGGGTACAGGAATGAGTCTGTGTCGGATAGATCGGCCGGCGGTGGTTTTGGGAAGAAGGCAGTCCGGAATGCCTCTGCCTTTTGCTCAACTGTTTCTGCGAGAGTTCCAGGCATTTGGGGATCCTGAATTTTCAGCGAAGGGGTGATACCCTTCTCATATGCCCCGTCTCGGTTTCTTGCCCATTTAGCCAATCGCCACATACCCTGTGGGCCATCTTCAACGACCTGCTGGACTCGGCGCCGGTGCGCTCTTGACAAGGTTTTCTTGACGAGTCGTGCTTTCCGGTTGCGTGCTTCCGAGTAGCACGTCCAGTCGTAGGGGTCTTTGGTTCTCGTGTGTCTTCGACGGAGGCGACGAACTTCTTTGACCGCAACTTTACACTCGTCGTCAAAGTCGGGGTTCGACCATGCGGATGGTTTTGCCCATGGGGTTGAATCCTCGATTGCTGATTGGATCACTCCTATAAGCTC